GGCAAACCATCAGATTTCTTATTTTCTCCAATGTTACTCATGTACAACAGATAAATATTCACTCTGCTTTGCATATGCACTTTTCAAGAAGGGATCTGATGACATCCTCGTAACTGCTGACACATGAGATAATGCTAGAAGGAAAATAAAACCAAATGTAAAAAAAGAAAGAAAAAAAACTGTCTTGCTTGTTATGTTGAACAGCTTTGCATACAAGTACTATTATATTTTGGTGAAATATAGTGTCTGCTCAGTCTTTTTTGATACTTTTATCATCCAGTACTATGAGTCATTACCAGGGTTCTCATGTCATGTACACAAAAAAATACATTTCCTATGCACAAGTCAAACTAACTTTGACCATGCGCACATGCTTTTACTGGTGTTGTAGTTTTAATGATTCCAATAGGACACTAATGAATTACACTACGTTTAGAAATCCACTTTTTGATGAATGCATCAAAATGTAATTTGCAGTGACCACCAGTTTTATAAGAATTGTAACAGACCCACTAATGTTGCAATTATGGCAGCGAGTTGTGTATTCGAGTTGTGTTTCAGTAAAAATAGCTACAGGTAGCGTCAGCAGCTCACCGAGTGCAACCATTTCACGTCACTGAAAAAATGGTACCCGGGGTTCCCATTAACATCACAAACTCTATAATATAGTGTTTACAAGTCATTCGTTTTTTGTTTATGAACCTAAATGAGAGTAGAGCAAGACAGATGGGCAAGACACAATTCAGGCTGGATTTGATATGACAATTTATATATTTATATTTTAAAACATATATAAGATATTTGACAGTTATGCCAAATTGCCACTGAGGTGTCATCAAATACTTGATAAGTTTTAACAACTTCACTTTTGAAATTTCTTTATTTTTGATATAAATTTTATTTTTTCAACCGTTTATGTACCTAATTTTGTTGTGTATGTCCTAATACTAATTTTAGAGAGCACAGAGGACTGAAAGACTTTCTTGACTGTTGTCATTACTTATCTCATTATCTGTAGAGCTGTCATTAGACGATTGATGATCACATGTGTGACTCATTTGTTTTTTCTTTATATCACTTAAAAAAATTAAATTGATTTTTGACTTTTTTTGTTGTGGATGTCCCAATTGGAATACACGATTTGCAATTTAAAGAGAGTTCAATTAAATGATAATGTTGTATTTTGTTAGCATTTGTGAATTAATAAAAATGTAACTGGTTATATAATATAGGCACATAACATCGTAATATCGATATATTGATCACAGGCCCCTGAATCAAATCAAATAATATCACCGCATGTTTTGAGGTACAGGCAAGCATCACATTGCTGAGAGGGAATTAATGTCAGATCGTATCGTGATAAAACATCTGATTTACACCCCAACTGAGTACAACATCTCCTTAAACACATGCAATACCCACTATGCCATGACTCTTACTTGTACATGAAAATTTTTAGTACAGAAGCCACGCATTTTTATGCATGAGGGCCTAAAATAAAGTGTGGACATATGCAGGTATATATGAGCCAGTAAAAGAATAAGGCAGCATGCCATATATATAAAACTTTGTGTATGTGGTGCTAAAATATAATGCAAGTCACAAACTACAAATTACACAGTATATGTGCAAAAAAAAAAAATCACTCTCATTTATCACTATCACAAAATTGATCCCAAAAAGTTATCTTCGAATTGGAATCATGCATGTTTTCATACTTTTAGATGTTTAACAGAAAATGAGGATGAAAAAGCTCACGAAAATCAATCTTATTTGCAGCCATTCTTTAAAACTACACAAAATTACTAGGAACTCAAACTCCTAACACAAAGAAAGCCTTTTAAGATTCAAGAGGTAAAATTAGAGGTACAAAATAAGCAGAAGCAGAATATTACAGACACATCTATAACCCTCCTATAACGCTGAGCTCAAGGCGACAGCTTGATAACTGGATTATCGGGAAGAACACATCTGAATCGAGTCCTCTTGGCGAGCAGCGATATCAACCGCTAGTCAAGGTGACGAAAGCAACAGAGACAAGACAAGACATGCTGGATAAACCATCTGCAGTGAAACACACGGTTTTCGGTGGCGGCCTAGCGGGCTCTCTGACGATAAAGCATCACTCCATCACCGGAGCTAAAGCTAACGGGCCTGGGTGATCGGCGAGATTACTCTTATGGCCTCCTTCACCAAGAGCCACTCATCTGACCTGCACGATTTAACCTTTAATCCTGGTTAAAAAGCATCACGGAGCAAAGCAGAAGCCATTTGATCCAGTTTAGGGCGTATATAGGAAGAGTTCAGTACAGCTGTTCACATAAGAAAATGAAGTGGTGTTCGAGTGTGACAGGGACACTTACAGTTTCTGATGTCCGAGATGAACACAGCTAATCCTCGCATTCCATCTCCCTTCGACACAGCCGGCATGTTTGCTCGTTTTTTCTCTTCAAGCCGGCTTCAACACGAAACAAATGACTTTCAGATGTTCAGAGGTGCAGGTTAAACAGGCGGTGATGAGTTCAAATGCACCGAGCTAGCGGGCTAACTCACACTTGAGCTGCGAATTTAGTCCGGAATTCAATTGTAAGCGCTTGTAAAAGCACACAAATAATGTAGCCGCGGGTGTTTATGAAGAAAAGAGGTGGATGCAGTGGGTGAGAGAGACGCTGGGAAGTCAGCGCGACTGGTGTTTCCGTTGGCTAATTCATTCAATCCCGTGAACTCTCGTCAATGGGAAAACGATGGAAAGGCACGAGCTTACGTTGCGGTAATGACTAACGTTAATTAAAAAACAAGCCACCGTGTTGTTTTTAATTTATGATTACGCGCCTATATGTCGATGGTGTTAAAATAACAATTGATTCCTCTCTGACTTTGAGTCACGCACGGCAAGCTAGCCAAACAGCTAGCGAGCTGGCTAGCTCAATCAAATGTTAGAATACATCACCCAAATGACCGCGATAGGACAGCGGGGAATCCTGCTTGCTGACGAACTAATCTGACAGACCTGTTTCTCGAGGAAAAGATCGCTGTGGACTATAATTAGCCGTCAATAATGTACGAGACTTTTCGGTCGCTGTACCCGGACGGAGCTCGTGACAGAACGGGCACTTCTTCTTCTTCTTTTGTGTTTAATGGCGGTTGGCAAACCAGCTTAAGGTGCATTTCCGCCACCTACTGGGATGGAGTGTGAGGCCTCGATGAACGAATATATCATATACTACTAATAAAAAAAAAATTTTTTTTTTAAAAAACTAAATTCTTCTAATCAAATCTGTCAGAACGGGCACTGAGCTCGCTCCAGCGCTTCCTCCCCACATGTCCCGCCTCCAGCCCGCTTCTCCTGCTCTGATTGGTTAGTTGCGCTTCTGTCCCTGTTATTCGGTACACCATTTGTCCGTTCATACGTCAGTTACATTTTATGACTATTTTAATTGGCTTGAAGACAAGATCGACACTGTTGAAAGTATCAAAGTGCAAGTATGTGGGAATGGTGATAAATTGCTAAAAAGAGAGGTTGTAAATTACACTAATTAAATCTGACGACTGGTTTTTCATGTGTAAAGCTGATTATTGAAATAGTTTGATATTGATTGTGTGAATTCAATTCAATTCAAGTTTATTTGTATAGCGCTTTTCACGATACAAATCGTTGCAAAGCAACTTTACAGCAAATTAAGTTTCTACAATATTTAGTGGTAGCTTATCAGTGGTGACTGTCAGTTAATGTACATATGGCAGAAATGTACGGAAAAATCAATTAAAGACTTAATCAAACAGACGATGAATTAACAGCAATTATTATGATGCAATCAAACTTATAGCAAAATGTGGGATAAACAAATATTTATATAAGTTAATCGTACAACTCAAATCATCGTTGATCAAGACGGCACCTATCAGTTTTGTGCAACTAAACTAGCAAATTACCCCATAATATATTAGATGATACATCATCATCATCCTGTACACGTTAAACTCATATCTATATTTGTTACAATTTATCAGTGAATGCACACTATTCTCAAGGCATCTTCATTTAACATTAATGTGTAGTAGCATCTTTGGCAAATAGGCTTCTCATGGCTCGGTTTGATTTAAAAGGATAGTTCATCCAAAAAACAAAATTCTGTCACCATATACTCACCACGTTATTCCAAACTGTATGACTTTTTTATTCTGTAAAACACAAAATAGAAGATATTCTCAAGAATGTTGTGGTTTAAACAACATTTATTATGATTGTAAGAACAAAAATCACTGAGACATTTTTCAAAATATTTTCTCATCTTCAACAGGAAAAAAAAAGAAATAGGCCTACATTAAAATTCTAGGGAGACACGAGGAGAGGCTTTTAATTTTGGAGTTATCTATGTGTCTATATCTAATGTGCTTATGTTTTTTTTAGTTTTTTTTTTTACCTGTTTTAGTTTGGTCAGTACTCTCTTTCTCTCTCTCTCTCTCTCCTATAGAGAGAGAGAGAGAGAGATAGATAGATAGATAGATAGATAGATAGATAGATAGATGTTATTATATAGTTTGCTAAAACGTTTTTGTAAACGTATGGTCACTTACATCAGTCCAACCCTCATAACTAGCTTACCTGAAAACAATGAAATCATAATTCTCAAGAGAGAGAGAGAGAGAGATAGATAGATAGATAGATAGATAGATAGATAGATAGATGTTATTATATAGTTTGCTAAAACGTTTTTGTAAACGTATGGTCACTTACATCAGTCCAACCCTCATAACTAGCTTACCTGAAAACAATGAAATCATAATTCTCAAATAACCTGTAATTTAACATTTGTATGAAATAATAAATTAGTGATCGCGCTACAGTTTGATCCAATGAAAGTCACGTTTCAAAAGAGAGGAAAAAATGCCAAGAAATTGAGCCTATGACGGAGAGCTGCAAGAAAGTGGGCGGGGCCTACAGTGAATCCCATGATTGCCGTCCAATCAAATCATTTAGTGAAGGCAAAGAGGCGGGAGCAAAACAAGTGTGTTTTACATGAGCTGTGCTGCTGCAGTCGTGGTGGAATCCAGTTTACCGAAATGGCGGAGACAGCAGACAGAATGGAGGTAAGCTGGAGCCACTCAAGGCCATTTCGCCTAGAACACATGCGATGGCTAGCAGCTATTTACGATAGTTAGAATTAATATGCCAACTTTATTTGTTACGTCTAAACTACGATTCTGTAGTCGTTTAACGGGTTTGGTTGCTGCGTATGTAGTTATCAGGTGGGTAGAAATGTGCGCACACGCATCTTGAGCATCCATTTTAGCCTGCCGCGAGTAACGTTAATCCATTCATTTAGCATCACGTGTCTGCTATTGCTAATTGGCTAAAATGAGTTAATACAGAGCTTTTTTTAAATACTACGTGTAACCAATTGATGTATTATGGAACTGGATTTAGTAATATCTGTGTCCTGTTAGCTAGCTCCTCGTTCAGCTTCCATGAGGGTCATTTAGAGCACGCTGGCGGCTGCTTGAATGACTTATTGTTGGGTACGAGACCGCATGGGACGAGACACCGCAGCCTGATGGCTGTGATCTACTCGATTACTATTTATTACAGCTTCGTTCACGATTAATCCGTTATTAGTAACCAGATTGCTGTAATTGGCGGTGTGGCCAATTAATTTTTTTTTCGCAACCACGTTTTTGCCCACGTGCATTTAGTTCAAGAGGTCTCTTTCAGAGGTCTTCTGACTCTATAAAAACATTTATTCTCATTTAAAAGGCGAGTATTACCGCATCTTTGCTTCTCTAATGAATTTAAAGTTGTGCGGGTAAAAATACGTTCATGAGTTTGAACTACCATGAATCGTCTTAACTGGTTTTAAAGAGGTAATGCTGGTCTAGAATTTGCTCAGTAGTAGTAATAGTAGCGGATTTTGATTGGTCACAGTGGTTTGAATCTTTTGAATCCATTTACCAAAAATGTTTGTTCTTTGTTCGTCGGTAAATCTTAGTACAGGTTACAGTTGGTGACGACAAGTGATTCCTTTAATCGAATCCTTTAATTCGATTCGTTACAATGAAAGTCATGCGTGACCGACATAAGTTTTGTCCTTTGTTAAAATGTGCATATATACAAATCGTTTAAGAGACACCACAAAATGTTGAAGCATTGTACAGAATTCCTCACAATTAGCTACAAAACAGATTTATTGACCACCTTGTCTAGCTGTGTTTTTTCTTCTCTTGATAACTTTTCAAAATTGTATTTAACATACAAAAGACACTGCCTAATCTTAAAGCCCAGCTCATACCTTGTTTCGTAGTGTATAATTTATTTATTTTTTTTTAAATAGGTGTCCCAGGGAGAGAGTTCAGCAAAACCTGCAGCAGAAGACATGACCTCCAAAGACTACTACTTTGATTCCTATGCACACTTTGGTATTCATGAGGTACAGTCTTATTGGTCCATCATGTTTCATGAATAGTGGTACAATTACACATATTCATATCTGTGATCACTGTAAACCCATTCTGTGTCCACAGGAGATGCTAAAGGATGAAGTTCGTACTCTGACGTACAGAAACTCCATGTTCCACAACAAGCATCTCTTCAAGGATAAGGTGGTGCTGGATGTGGGAAGTGGAACTGGCATCCTTTGTATGTTTGCAGCCAAAGCTGGAGCCAAGAAAGTTATTGGGGTGAGTGTAAATCCTACCCGTTTATGTAAATGTCACCTCATTGTTTTCAACAGCTGAGTTTTTGTTGTGGATACTGACTGGTTTAGTTGAATGAGGCTCTTGCCCGTCCTGTCAAGGTGATGGGTAGGTGATCATGCTGTGCTTTTCTCAGATTTGACATTCTTTTGTCATTTGTTCCCCAGATTGAGTGCAGCAGTATATCAGACTATGCTGTGAAGATTGTGAAGGCCAACAAGTTGGATCATAGTAAGAACTTCTCATAGCTCTTGACTTCCTTATTTTTCAGACTTCATATGCACAGCACATTTGTGACGATCTTTTGAGCTAAACTTACTGTATCGTGAGTTATGTACCTCAAGTCCTTAACCTCATTTTCCCTGTCCAGTCGTTACCATCATTAAAGGCAAAGTGGAAGAGGTTGAGCTTCCTGTGGAAAATGTAGACATAATCATCTCTGAGTGGATGGGCTACTGTCTCTTCTACGAATCCATGCTTAACACTGTCATTTATGCAAGAGACAAATGGCTGGTGGGTGTATGCTAATGTCCTTTTAAAGTGTTGGAGTGTTGAAGCTGTTCACTATAAAAAATTGTGCATGCTGACCACAATTTGATTAATGTTCATGTTGCCTATTTGTTTTTCTTTTTTAGAAACCTGATGGCCTGATTTTCCCTGACAGAGCCACACTCTATGTCACTGCTATTGAGGACCGACAGTACAAGGACTACAAAATTCACTGTACGTGTCAATCTCTGAATGCATTTGAGGCCTTTTCAGCTGTGTCTGAAATAAGACAATTTCATTTATTTAGTTTTGTTTGCATTTTCAGGGTGGGAGAACGTTTATGGCTTTGATATGTCCTGTATCAAGGAAGTGGCCATTAAGGAGCCACTAGTGGATGTTGTTGACCCCAAACAGCTCGTTAGTACTGCCTGCCTCATTAAGGTTAGTTTACTCAAAATTGTCAATTACTCATAATCATATACTCCAATTATATGAAGTGTTTGGTTTTTATATAACCCCTGCTTGCTTATTTTTTCAACCCTACTGATTCTCTCGGTTCATTAGGAGGTGGACATCTACACAGTGAAGATTGAGGACCTGTCCTTCACGTCACCTTTCTGCCTGCAGGTGAAAAGGAATGACTACATTCATGCGCTGGTAACCTACTTTAACATAGAGTTCACTCGCTGCCACAAAAGGACAGGCTTCTCTACTAGTGAGTGCTGTTTTTGTTTTTCCCCTCTCTACCACACATTTTTCACCATGAGTTTTTAAAATTATAAATGAGCCCTTGAAAAACAAAGTGCATTTGTCTTTTAGGCCCAGAGTCTCCTTACACTCATTGGAAGCAGACTGTGTTCTACCTTGATGACTATCTGACGGTTAAGACCGGAGAGGAGATCTTTGGCACCATCAACATGAAACCCAACGTCAAGAATAATGTAAGCCCCCACCTGCACTTAATATTCTAAAATCGCACTTAGAATAGAATCTTACATGAAAGTGTAGGAAAATCTATTTTATAATTAGCTATTGTATTACAATAAAATAAGTTCCTAGAAATATGCATACACTACTGTTAAAGTTTTGGCTCTAAGATGTTCTTTGTTTTTATAAAAAAAAACTAGTGAAACTTGTTTTTTTTTGTTTGGTTTTTGTTTTTAAGTACAGTACTATTGTGAACAGGGTTCCCACGGGTCCTTGAAATCCTTGAAAGTTTGAATCTGAATTTTATTTTATTTTTTCAAGGCCCTGGAAAGTTTTTGAAAATAAACATGCATAGATACAGGTCTTTGAAAGTGCTTGAATTTATTTTGTGCAAGAAGTTTCCTGGAAAAAAATCCATATTATTCCCTCTGGTCCGCTAATGTATTATTTCTCCAACACTTCGCGGCCTATGCAAGCTAGCTTGCTTGATTTATGTTAGTTACGCGCATTTACGCGTTACGTTAAGTGTTTCCCGCGTGAGGTACTTTGTGTGTTGTACATTGCCATGACGTTCACGCGCGCACGAAACTACTATGATGGTACCTCAAAGTTTCACAGACACACCGTGAAATTAATGTTGAATTGCTTTGCTTGTTAAGATAATGTAAACCCATGAGGCAAGAAAAACTTATTATATTGTGTATGAAAAGCATATTCATATCCTAAATCTTCTGGTTACATGAGCCTAAGCTCTTTTCAATAAAATCCATGCAAAAGTTAATATCAGATCATTTTAGAATACCGTATAGAATGTACTGAATATTCTTCAGTTTTATGCAAAACAGAAATACAACAAATAGAATATCAGATCTCTGTTATATGGTCAAAAATAAATGCAAAAAAAAGCTTTTTTGCATGGTTGTTTTGACACATGAAAACTGTAACAATGTATCATACAGGGTAATACGATGTAACCTTGCTCTCACTTGAAATGTGTCCCCATATTAAGTCCTTGAATTTGAGGGTATTGGATCTGGAAAGTCCTTGAATTTGAAGTTAACCAAGGCGCGGGAACCCTGTGTGAAATTTATAATTAAACTTTTCTATTTTGATATTAAAGAATTTAATCCTCTGGGAAAGCTGAATTTTCAGCAGCCATTGTTCTAGTCACATGATCCTTCAGAAATCAGTCTAATAAACAGCATTTGCTTGAGATGGAAGTCTTTTGTAATGTAAATGTCTTTACTGTCATTTTTGATCATCCTTGCTGATGTTAATTTTTCAATTGGGAAAAAAAATAACTTACTGACCCAAGACTTTTGAATGGTAGTGTATAAATTTTTTTTTAACTATAACAAGTGATATTTCTAGAAACAGTAGAGCATCGTTGCAGCATAACTTAGAAACACAAGCATCAAAAGTAAATTCTTTTTATGCCTTTAATTTTTGCTGAATATTAGTAGCAGCAATATGAAGATTTTCAGTACTTTACAGTCTTGGTTTTTAAATTAAACCTCTTGAATGTCATAAGTTGTCAATAAGAGGATGTTGGTACGGTTCTACAGATCTATGCATGGTTCACATTCCCTGACCATTAAGTGGATATTTCATAATTACGTATACATTTGTGAGGTGTCCAAGACTTCAGAGTACAGGATGCGCTAGATTTCTTTAGCATCAGTGTATGTGAGGCAACTCTGAGAGCAGTGCACACTTGTGTGTGTGTAAAACCATGTACATTGTTTCATGACTGTGCATGACAGACATTTTTAGAGATTCTGTTTTACAGAATATTGTCTGACAAAGGATTTGGAAAGTTAAATTTTTTTTTTCTTTGAAATGCGCCCAAGGGGACTAAACATGGTGTATTTATATTGTGCTTTATTCCATCTTGTGTGCAAAATTCCTTTTTGGCCCTGCTTTTTCCAAATTTTAGGTGTACCATCTTGGATAAAATCTCTTGGGCTTATGCATGTACATGTGCAACTGCTCTCTTTTGCCTGTTTGTCTGTCTATGACAACATGTCATCCATGTATATATTTTTTTTTCCTCCTGCCATGCCAACATGTCTGTGTTGGTCACTGTAAAAAAAAAATGCAATGCAAATCAGCCATATGTTTTGATATTCCATCTGGTAAAGACAGCATCTTCCATGTAGGTAAAATGTAATGTTTCACTGTGGACAGGAGTTCTGCCCAGTAGTTTGCTGAATGAGCCCATATCATTTTGTATTTGTTCTGTACTTGGAGGCAGTTGTTTTGGACCATCAGTAGTGGGTGCCTCCATTATGCGCCATTTGTCTTCTGTGGAGTAACTTTTAATTCATGTAGTGCTCCTATGTCCTCATCTGTTAGCTTTGTTTTGTTTTTGTTTTATTTTTACTTGTTACAATGACTCAATCGGAGGATGTTATGGATGAGACTGCATAGTAATCTCTTGTGCAACTCATAGGTGGTGTTAATGAGCACTATTTTAGATCTGTTGATCTTTTTAATGTCATATAGGAAGAATCTTCACTGACAGTTTAGTTTAAGCTTATCTGCTGCTCTTTTGCACTGTAAGCACTTAAAACTAAGTTTCTCAGACCCAGAACTACAATTTAATTCCATGGAGGAAACCCTTCAGACTAAATTTTCCATTCAAGTGCTTTTATTGAAGATGATGCTTATCCTGTGTTTGAGTAACTTCACATTTGTTCCGTATTGTGATCTTCTCATAGCTGTGTACTACAGTGCTTTTGTCGAGGGGTGCAAGTTCACATGCCTTGTCTAGCACTGGTTTGGATTACCAGGCAGGAATTTGTCCACTAGGAATTTTTTTTTTCCCCTCCTTTTTTTGAAATAAAAACCAATTAAACCTGTGTTGTTTTATGATTTAATGATTTTAATGATTAAAAACTTTTTTATATATATATATACATACATACATACATACATAGATTTTTTATTTTTTTTTTAAGTTCATTTAAAGGTTTATGGAAGCATTTTATATTGGGTCTTTTAGGGTGTATTCATACCTGTCTTGTTTGATTCGATTGGCTCGAACTCAAGTTCGTTTCTCCTCTACAATTTCTGGTTCACTTGCAAAAAGGGCAGTGTGAAAGTGAACCACATCAAAAAAAAAATCAACATTTTATTTGGTCCGGAGACTCCGGACCAAAGCAAGTGAACTAGCGGAATTTCCTGGTGTGAATACACCTTTAGCTGGCTATCAAAGTTATTCAAAACTTTTGAAGTAGAAGTCGTCTTAATGCTTAAGTGATAAAGATGCTTTGAATTGCATAATTGAGGCTTTTAGGAAATTGCATTCACTCCCAAAACACTTGTGTAACGCATACTGCTGTTTGTTTATGCTTAGATTTTCCAATATGCACTTGTTTCTTCTTTTTTGTACTGACAGTTGTCAAAAGTTTATATATATTTAATCTAAATTTATCCAGCAGACCAGTGCAAATACAATGTTGCTTTAGAACACATTACAGCTAGCTTTAGGATTGGGTGCTCCAGGTTTTGTAGCTTTGAGCACTTCAATTCTATGAATGATTAAAATTATGAATGACGATTGTATGATGTGTGAGATAACACTGCACCATGCAAATATTGAGAAACCGCTGACCTGAATTTTATTGCGCAGCATTTACAATATTAGTGGGGGGAAAAAACTCTTCAGTAGTTTGACATTTAAAAAACCTGTAATATTTACATGTATGCATTTAGCAGATGCTTTAATCCAAAGCCGGTTACAAAAGAGGAACAAAATATGGTAAAAGTAGCTTTTTATGAAATAATGCAAGTGTTCTTGAGGTTTTTCCTTAACATTTCCTCCCTTCCAGCTTCTGCCCAATGGTAGCTTGAGTATTTTTGCTCAATATTTTCTTGAAATGTCTTGCTTCTCCTGTTCAAATCTCACTCCATTCTACATCTATGCTGGTGGTACTCATATTTTCTTTTCGATTCCTCTTTTTGATGATTCAACTGCTCTTGTTCTCTGTCGTAGCCTCTCACCATTAATTTTCTGATGATTTTCTGCTCTCTGTTTCTTGTTTTCTCCCCATATTTGCATCGATTTGCGTTGGGTCCAGCAAATAAACCATAAAACCGTGCCTCCTATGATGCTGTAAATCTGTTGTCTCAGTTGTTCCAGCAGCTTCTCTCAACGTTTGGTTCTGATTGTACAGTTCCATGCGTTTGTCTTTGAAGCTCAGCTTCTCTGGTTTGCATCTCCTTCCTAGTGGCATCAACTTTAGGTATAGTTCACCCCTCTAGCGTAGCCAGAAAAGAGACTCTGGGTGTGCCACATTTATTGTCAGATTAATGTGCAAAAAAAAACAACAACTCTGCGTATCACTAACGTTACAGAATAGACTGGGCTGATGTGTAAAACTATACTCAGGCTCGCAACATAACCATAAAACTATATAAAATATAATACAGTCAGGATCGCCAACAACATAGTCATAACACAGTACACTGTAAAAAAAAAACCTGTTGTTTTTACAGGAAAACGCTGGCAGCTGTGGTTACCAGAGAATTCCTGTACTTTAATAGAGCCTGTAACCATAGTCTATGAATGAAAAATCTTTTTTTTTTTAATTAAAGAGAACTTAGAGAGCGTGGGCTGCTTTTATTTGAATTTGTGCCTCAATAATGAGTTCTAAGTTTAAGAATACGCTAGAAGTTAAAATTCTAACATTTAAAATAATAATTTTTTTCTCTATTTAACATTAACTTACAATAGTGAAAGACTTCTTCCCTCAAGCAGATTGCATGTTTTTTTTTTGCCTAGCTGGATGTTGTGCTCATGATCAATAATCATGTTGCTTGCATTCACTCGAACTGATTTGCCGAAATCAAAACACGGACGGCGCGAGACCTGCTCGCTGTGAAGCGGCCGGCAGAGGATTCCGCTTGGTCTCAAAGCCTTCCTCGAAAGGCTATATTCGCAAATGAAACAATGATTTGCACAAAAAGAATGATCACTTATCAATTGAGAATTTGTTATTCGTATGGCCTGGTGGTCATACGGCGTATGCCTGCGAATACGGGACAAACTGCGTTC